CAACACAACACAACACAACACAACGCAACGCAACGCAACGCAACAAAACTCACCCGCAGGGTCGGATCGAACATCATCCCCATGTTCCCCACGGTGCACATTACCCGCCGACCGCTCCGGTCCCTAAAGGGAAACACCTGAAAGCCTCCCGACCTAAGGATCTGCATCTCTTCCTTGGAAAAATCCTGGAGTTTGACCCTCCGCTGCAGGGCAAAGAGGCCGTAGAGCTCGACCATCAGCTCGAGGTAGCCGATGAGGCGGACGGCCGCCTTGCGAACGTCGAAAAGCTCGCAGCGGAGAAACCTGAGCCGAAAGTCGTCCGTGTTGACGTAGGATGTCTTGGCAAAGCGGGGTACCAGGGCGTAGGCCTGAGCCTTGTCGTAGGCCGGCTTGTAGGGGATCCGCTCGATCTCGCGCTCGAGGCTCGCGAGGGCCAGGGACAGCAGCCTCGGGTTCTCCTCGGGCGCAAGGCAGCGTACCCCGTGGATTTCCTCGTCATTGGCGATGCGATCTTGGAAGGAAAGCTTTAGGAGTTCCCTCGAGAGCATCTCGTCGACGTCCATCCCGGAGGCAAAGGGGGATCCTGCTTCCGACAACGTTGCCGTTGCTATTGCCGAGGCAGCGGTCGACGAGGAGGTGGTCGAGTCTGTGTCAGCATCCTCCTCTCCAACGAGTCCCTGGGTGTTTGGTGCTGCCTGCTGCTGTGATTGAGGGTGTAACTGGTGGTGACTTCCCAGCATTCTCTGATCGCTGCTACCCATGTTGCTGCACTGGATCTCGTACTTCTTTATGATGGCGGAGGGATCAAGGTCGTCGCTTTCCTTGGTTCTTCTCGGTTTCGTCGATCGCCTGCCTCTGTCTCTGGTCTCGTTAACGTTAACGTTAACGTTAGCGTTAGCGTTGATATTGCCTTTGCCGTTATAGGTTTCGCAACCCATGCTGTGGATCCTCGTGTCAAAGTCGGATGCAGTTTTGGAGGAGTGGCTAGTGGCGTAGGCCTGGTTTTCGTCGCTGCTGTCTACCATTTCGTCGAAAATCGCGTTTGCATTCGATTGCTGCTGTGAATTCGGTGGCATGTTGTGTGATCCGACGGAATGGACAAAGAGTTAGTTTTAGTTGCACTTCGTATTGTATTCAATTGGACTGTTCGACTGGATTGCATGGATTCTCGATTCGATTCGATTCGATTCGATTAATTTAGATTTAGATTTAGATTTCGATCAGATCAGATCAGATTTTATTGGATCGGGTCGGGTCGGGTCGGATTGGATTGGGTTTCTTTCATGCTCTCACTCCAGTCGCTTCTTTTTGTTGTGTCGTTGTTGTTGCTACCGTACGTACCGCACTCTTACTGTTCCGGTTTGGATCGGGATACCGCTACCGTAACTCGTACGAATTCTGTACCTGAGATGTCTCTTTGCTTGAGGAAACTGTGAAAACACGGGGCTGTAGAAGACAGAACATTGACATGGAAAAAGCTTTAGTACAATAAGATTGTTGACCAATATCTCTAGTCTAGGCAATAAAATAAATAAAATTGTCAATTCTATTTGAAATCGGCATGCATCGGGATTCTATAGAGCTTTATGTAGTGTTGAATTTGTTCTATGAAAAACAGTAGCGGTTTCAATTATTTGTTTTCTTGCGTCCGTTCTTAAATAAAGTTCAAAATTACTTAACAGTAGATTTGGTCTCAAACTGTTGTCACCTCCAGAATTATGCAAGTTGTGTAGGATTTTGTAACTTCCATCCGTCTCCTCTTCGATTGCATGCACTCGTACGTACCATACTGTGCAGGTACCTCATGATGCATGCAGTAAGAGGAGACGTCAAGAGAAAAATGAAGTGATACCGATAATTGTGTTCTTCTTTTGTATTACCGGTACTGATGGCTTATGCACTAAATCAAGAAATGTACGGTAGAAGCGAGGAGCGAAATCAACTATCAAAAGTAGTAATCGTTAAGTAATCCATTCTTCAATACACCTTTATTGTCTTAAGTTTTGAAACCAAGTTTCAGCCATTCAAAATATTTTAACGACAATATTTTAACGGCAATGACTGCATGACCTCCAACAGATGCTGATACGAGAATGCCGCTACGGAGGATCCGCTGATACAAGCCGCTGATACGAGCCACTGATACGGAGGATGCTGATACGGAGGATGCTGATACGGAGTAGATTTTGGTCAAAATAGAAGGGTTTTGATTCCGCGTCCAAATTGTACTGTGTCTTAGTGTCTTTACCTTTACCTGTCTCCAGCACGCTGATCCAGCACGCTGATCCAGCAC